CTCTGCAGCTTACGCATGTGTTTGCAAATGTGTGATAACTAAACCCGTTTTTAACGCATACTGTTAGATAGGCTAATTCGGTTTGTTTGCAAGCTGGTTGGTAAGATGAGCTGGGAATTTTCTCTTTTATTGTTTGATGGTGTTCGAAATTTGCCAACCTTTGTAAATTAAAGGGAGGTGCTGGTACTGTACTTGGCACATGCAGCATTTTTAGTTTTTTATATTGATTTAATTACAGGGTCTTTTTAAGGTCAATTTCTTTCAATCTTTTTTTTTTCCATTTTGGTTGTGATTTTGTTTTTCTATCTATAAACCTAAACTCATAAAATCAAATATTTAATAATAATAATAATTATAATAATAATAATAGTAATAATAAAATTAATAATAGCGCATGTGCCCAAGTTTCTCTGAAATTCTGGTGAATTTGAAGATGATTGATATGAAGCATTGCTAGGCAGAAATCAGAAGTTCTCATGTAGGCACTTTATAATACCACCTCCCTGTAGAAAGGAAAATGTTGTGCAATTTAGCTAATGTGGTATTGAGTTAGAAGAATTGTAGCAATCCTGCTGTGTTTCAACTTGTTTTTGTCACTATGGAATGCCAAAATCTTTCCTTTGCTATGAGCCAAGAGTTAGACCGATAGCTGCCAGGTCATTTGGGTACTGAAACTGTATAAAGATGAAGTACAGAGATTAAATACATATAAATGTAAAGGAGCTGTTTTACTTGCCAAAGGATTTGTATTTCTGTCCAACCAGTTCTGAGATTTACACAGCCCTACCATACAGTACAGTACATACAGCCTTATCTGACCTGTTTTTTTTCTGATGCAATTAAAGCCCAATTCCAGGAATTACAAACAAACAAACAAAAAATACTCTTGCAGTGGGGCTCCCCCAAGTGTTAATCAATTCTAGGGAATAGGATGTGATACTTTCCTTACTACCTGTAGCAGGCTCCGGCGCTCTCCTGCACTCCAACTTGTGGGCTTTCCCTTGCCATCACATACAACGCCAGGCTATTGGCCCTACATTGTACTTCATGATGTCATTGTGGGACTGTGTGTGATCCAGAACTTCTGATAGAAGTGGCTTTGAGGGACCAGTTGCACTGATGGAGGGAGTGTGCAGGAGCAAGCAGTGAGGTGAGTAAAGGAACCTTACCCCTTATCCCATAGAGTTAGCAAGGTACGAGTAGCAATACTTTCAGTCAAGTACTTACTGATACCGAGTACCGATACCTTTGCTGTAAAGAATCGCATGTGACTTGAACAGGAATGCGGTACAATTCCTGTCTGAATCAGATGTGGTTTATCTGTGGGTGCTGTTAGATTTGCAGTGTGATTTGAGCCATTCATTTTGTATGTCTCAAATCGCACTGCAAATCTCACCACACCCACAGGGAAAGTGCATGTGATTTTGACAGGAACTACACTGCTACTTCAGCTGAAGTCGCGCGATTTCAGTTCAAATCACATGCGATTCTTTGCAGTATGATTTGAGCCCATTCATTTTATATGGGCTCAAATCGCACTGCAAAGGTATCAGTATCAGGAGTATTTGTACAAATATGAGTACTCGTGCAAATACTCAATATCAGCATCAATACGTAGTTTTAAGTAACACTTGCAAGCCCTGCTGTGATTGAAATATGTTGGGGGCATAGATTTGGGTGGGAATAATAGATGTAGTGTCATTGCAATAAACCTTGGCTGGAGTTGAAAAACAGTGGCTCAACCACAAGATTTTACCAACCCAAACCTCACATGTGAATGAGCCCTAATAGTGCAGTCAGTCACAGTGTCTCCAATCACCACCACACCAGTTTCAGTGTCACTAGTGTTGGGCTTGATATTCAGGTCGAACGTAAGCTTAACATCGGCCATTCGTGTGTTCAGTGAACACATGAATGGTAAGGGCATTTGGCGGGCTGCTCAGCTGCAGCGCTCTACAATGCACTGCACCTTGACCGTGCATTGTGATTGGCCAAGGCAATGCACCTGACCACAGGCCAGCTGCAATGCTTTGGCCAATCACAGCGCATGGTGATGTCACATGGGGGTGGGGTGACCCCCTTGTGACATCCTCACAGTACTTAAGAACTGTCATCTTGGCGCAGCTCTCAGATGGCAGGAGCCATAGTCGAGAGTGGGGCGCTTTTTTTTTTCTTTTTTTGGGTCAGCGATGGATCTACTTTGGAGGAAATTTTTTTAATTTTTGTTTTTAATAAAACACTGTCTCCTGTCATTTTTTACACTACACTTCTTTTCTTTTGCGAATGAGTAGCGGAACCATGTACCCCATACTCATTAACATGCAGGGGCTTGTTAAAGGGGACTTCCAGATTCCGATAAGCCCCCCACCTGCAGTTCCCCACAACTACTGGTCATGGTTGTGGGGAAGAAGCCCTTGTCCCCATCAGCATGGGGACAAGGTGCTTTGGGGGGAGCTGACAGCTGAAACAGTAAAGAATGTTTTGAGCAGCATAGTGGCTAAATGGTTAGCACTTCTGCCTGGCAGTACTAGGGTCGTTGGCTCGAATCCCAACCACGGCACCACCTGCCTGGAGTTTACATGTTCTCCCTGTGCCTGCGTGGGTTTCCTTTGGGTACTCCGGTTTCCTCTCACACTCCAAGGACATGCTGGTAGGTTAATTGGCTCCTGTCTAAATTGGCCCTAATATGTGTGTGTATGAAAGTGAGATAGAGACCTTAGATTGTACGCCCCTTGAGGGTTAGGGACTGATGTGAATGTACAATATATATGTAAAGCGCTGCGTAAATTGATGGCGCTATGTAAGTACCTGAAATAAATAAATAAATGTTTTCACTACTAAAATACCACATGACTTATTAAAATATAATTATAATATGCGCTATTTTAGTAGCTGTACAGTATCATACCTCATACTTAGGTGTGGTAAGATATTGCTTAGTGAATTGTCCTTGTTCGAAGTTCGTGGTTGAAATTTCGTTAGCTTCGAATGTTCGGCCGCAAACTGAAGAGGAGGGTGTTCGGCCCATCACTAAGTGTCACCATAAAGCCTTGTTCTTATGTACAGTGCTTTTTTAAGAGCACTCCGTGTTCCCATTGCTCTTCAGAGCAATTTCAAAGGCAGTGAGAAGGCTTTGTATTGTCTTTTCGCTGCCTGTTTAATAACCCCTTGGAAACAACACACCTGGGGTCCAACAGATTTTCATTTTCTTTCCTGCATTTTCCAAAATCTTTTTTTTCTCAAAATGTTTGGTCTTTTTTTTCTTTATGTAGTAAAAAATAAAAAACCCAATGGCGATTAAATACCACCAAAAGAAAGCTCTATCTGTCTCAAAAAATTATATAAAATGTATTTAGGTATGGTGTTGTATGACTGAGTAATTGTCATTTAAAGTGTGACAGTGAAAACTGAAACATAGCCTAGACTGGAAGGGGGTGAAACAACCTGGACTTAAAATGGTTAAGCTTTTATGAAAGAAAACTTTTTCAATTTTCCTATACATATTATTTATTCAAAACTATGATGAATTTCACTTTAACGGACTGAAGCAAGCACATAACATGGCAGAATTATGAAATACCAGCTAAGAGTCCTTAGGCTGCTGTGGACCTATGATTGGTGTTTACAACTTTAAAAAAGTTTCCAAACCCCATTTAGATGAAAAAAGTGTACTTTAGAACATACGTTTTATTGTCTGTGAGCAGAAAGCTGGTGAACCTGGATAGAAAGCGTTATGTCCTGGCTCCTTTAATCTTGTGGTCCAAGAAGCAGGTCCCAGAAAACTGAAGTTAGGTATTAAAGAGCTTTTTATACTGTTCAGCTAGTCTTGTGATTCAGGAACCACTGCCAGACTGCATTATGGAGCTTGGTCACCAATTTGCCGATTGGACAATGAATAAGCAGCATTGCCAAGGTCACCCTTGTCAGACTAATAAAGCTGTGCAATGCATTAGAGCCCTGATTGGCTCACACTGCAATCCTCCTTCTCCCAGTCCTGCTGTGCAGCAGATTACAGGACTTCAAAAGACACTTACAGTAATACATTAGTGCCTAGATTAAATGGTAATCTTCTTATATCTGGATAGAGCTTAGATCTCATTTTAGATATCAAGAAATTATATACATTTGTAAATCTTTTGAACCGTACAGGGTTGTTTTTCTGCTGCTGACTTCCAACACAGAAAAGTATTATTATTATTACAGGTACTTATATAGCGCTGTCAATTTATGCAGCGCTTTACATATATATTTTACATTCACATCAGTCCTTAACCCTCAAGGAGCGTACAATCTAAGGTCCCTAATTCACAGTCATACATATACATACCAGGGCAAATTTAGGCTAGTTCACACCTATGCAGGTTGTGTTTGAGCCATTTCTGCATTGCGTTTTGTGTTTTTTCACCTGCGTTTTTGCCGCTTTTTTGATGCGTTTTGTGTTTTTTTTTCCTTTTTTTATTTTTCTTGTTGCTAGGCAGATTTAAAATGCAAAACACATCAAAAACACAGCAACAATGTATCTAAAAAATGCACTACATGCTTTTCTGCAGCATTTCCATTGAAGTCTGTAGAACCAAAAATGCTACTTTTTACGTTCAAAAAAGTCCCTGACCCTTTCCAAAAAACGCACCGGGTGAAAGCGTGGAGATGTGAATGTGTCCCATAGGAAATCATATTAAATGGACTGTACTGCGTTTCTGCAAAATGCAAAACGCTGCAGAAAACGCTTAGGTGTGAAACTAGGGTTAGACAGGATCCAATTGCCCTACCAGCATGTCTTTGGAGTGTGGAAGGAAACCACGCAGACACATGGAGAACATGCAGAGTCCAGGCAGGTGGTGCGTGGCTGGGATTCAAACCAGAGACCCTAGTGCTGCCAAGCGGAAGTGCTAACAATTTAGCCACTAAAAATAAGCACATTCTTTCTTATATCTTTTATGTATATTATGGATGTGTTATACATTATTGTATGATATTTAGCATAAGAAATGTGTGCTTACCTTTCTTTAAAGAATAAAAGTTCATTTCCTAAAACTGTCACGGCATCAAATGACATGTTGGGGTCACAGTGATCTGGCTTAGGTGGTGGAGGTAATGCAGACTTTTCTTGTCCAGAATTTTTGTTTCCTACAATAAAATTAGAGACCGCAATATATATTTATATACAATGACCACTGGCCACACTAAAGTGGCAAAAAAATGAAAACATGACTGTGCATCATTAATATTTGTGCCAAAAAAAACTCCTGACAATGCACCTATAGTCTTTTTCTAAATAAGAGGGCAGGAAATATGGCTGTTTTCTTTTTAAATGGGATTGGATATTTTTAAGTGCTCCAGCCCCCAGTTCATACGCAGCATAAAAAGACCTTTAACTGGAAAAATTAGATATTATACTTAGCTTTCCTTCGGCTCCTTTAGTACAGAGGTGTCCGTTTATGAACCAGCGGTAATAGATCGCTGCTCAGTTTTCCAGCATTCTCGGAGAACACAGTTCTCCTGTGAATGCAGTTTATGAAGCAGTTCTCCGAACGAAGGGAGAACGGTCTCCAAACGCTGGAGAACGGTCTACAAACTCTGGAAAACGGCTCATTTTACTATAATCTCGTGAGATTACAGTAAAAGATCAGTTTACTAAGCAGAGGTAAATTATCTCTGCTTAGTTTGCGGTCCCTCTGATTCTCCAGCTCTGGGCTGGAGAATCTGGAGGGAGAACACAGATCTCCAGTGAGGACTGACATGATCTCCTGAGTGTCATAAACTGTGAATGACCAGAGAATAGCTGAGATCTGTTGAATCGCAGCTATTCTCTGTGCCATAAACGGACACCAGAGTGTGAAGTTATCTCTCTGCCTTGGAATCCTGGAGAATGGCGAGAACTCTTAGGTGTCCTTTTATGACACAGAGAATAGCTGTGTTTCAGAGGATCGCAGCTATTCTCTGGTCATTCACAGTTTATAACACTCAGGAGAACATGTTCAGCTCTTCACTGGAGATCTGTGTTCTCCCTCCAGATTCTCCAGCCCAGAGCTGGAGAATCGGAGGGACCGAAAACTAAGCAGAGATAATTTACCTCTGCTTAGTAAACTGATCTTTTACTGTAATCTCGCGAGATTATAGTAAAATCAGCCGTTTTCCAGCGTTTGTAGACCGTTCTCCAGCGTTTGTAGACCGTTCTCCCGCGTTTGTAGACCGTTCTCCCTTCGTTTGGAGAACTGATCTACATATGCTTCATAAACTGCATTCACAGGAGAACTGTGTTCTCCGAGAATGCCGGAGAACTGAACAGCGATCTATTACTGCTGGTTCATAAACGGACACCCAAATCTCATGAGAAGTCAGTGTAACCGATTGCTGGGAGTGCCTTCTCAGCAAGATTTGGAGTACTCTACATTCCCAACATCACGCTGGTAGAAGGATGACACCACCCTTATATAAGTACCATGAGTGTGACCCAGAGGAAAAGTAAGTATATTAGCTAACATTTTCCCCTACACTAAAAGTCTTAAAAAATATCTCTGCTGTTTGTAGTCATTGTTCAGATGTTGGATGCATCACTGTTCGGCCAACAATTTTTTCACCAAACTCTTTTAATAAAAGTCAAGCCAAGTGATGCCGATAGAGCCACTCAGACCTCAAAATTTGACAAGTTCTTCAAGAATTGGTTAAAATGTGAGCCATGTATGGGCAGCATTACTCCTAAACTAGGACACTACTTTTACATCAATGGGCACACTGTTGCTGTAGTCTCATATTTATTGGGAAAAAGTCATGATAACATCACTACACACAAACTTTATGAATGTTACTGTGCATGTTAAGGCTTCTGATTAGCCAAAAGTAGTAGTGGTCATTTGATGCTTCCATATGTTTAGAATTTATGTTTGGAGGTCAGAGAATCTCAGAATGTGTAGGGGAATTCAGTCAAAGCCTGCCAGACCGAAGGCACTGGTTGCTTTCCATTTGCCAACCTAAATTATTTTTCAAGGATGTGTAACATTTTTATTTGGTACATGTTTTAATAAATACTTTGCTCAGAACTTTTATTAAAGGTTGCCAAATAGACATTTTTTCTTAAATATTTAAGCTTTTTTTTAATACTTCTAAATATTATGCTATCGTCTGCAAGAAAAAAATTTAAATTCTATTGCAGCTTTAAAAACAAACCTTGTGATCACCATGTCACCATTGTATGATCAAACAGGATGGGTCTGTGGTCTCATGAACAGGGGAATGCATTTGCGTGATCCTAGCTGTAAAAGGAAACCTATATTGATGCTTTTTGGTTACTGATGCGTTCCTTTTGATTAATATGTACTACTGATATCGTGATATTTTCCTACCTATGCATTTATGTAAGGCGGTTGCTACTCTATGTGACTGTATTGAGGGAATGGACGACTGCTACCAATTTAGTTTTGTTTTTCTTCTTTTTTATTTGTTGTTGGTTTTATAGTTTTATTGAAAATTTTTCATCAAAAAAGTTATTTGGAAAAAAAAATTGCAGCACATTTAAAGTAGAATTATAGACAAAACTTTTTTTTTCTTTTTTGATAGAACAAGGGAGGGTTGTAACCTCTGCCAGAAGATTTCCCTTTACTTCCTGTCCCATAGCCAAAAAGGAAGTGAAAGGAAATTTCTCGAAAATTAAGGGAATTCCTTGGGGACCAGGTCACCAGAACTAGTGTCCCCATAGAAAAATTTCCCCTCTATTACTTTTCTAGGGACAACCCAAAATTTGGGGTTTCTTTTACTTTCACTTTCAATGATAATGGTAAATAGGACAAATAGAGAAGATGATTCTCCCTAATGGGGACACAGACAGCAATAAAAACTGACAGGTGTTGTAATACCTCTCCACTCTATCTAAAACTAAAAAAAAAAATTGCCTTTGGCTGTATTTTAAGTAGAAGCATCTGAATAATACCATTGAACACACCATACAATGCTTGTATTCCTTTCACATCATCTTTGGGCAGGCGAAAACCAATGGGATGTTGATATTTGTATGTAGGATACATCAGAGCTGATGAATCACTGGAATGGCCAAGCCCCAATGCATGGCCAAATTCATGAGCAGCCACTGTGAATAGATTAAATCCTGCAATAAAATTTACAGAGAGATTTACATTGTAGATATACACCTGTAATTATTTGGGTAAATAAAATAAACTATATACAGAAAGAGGATTATATGAGATAGCTCAGAAGGATGACAGGCCACACCCAGGTTCTGCTCAAACTGATACATTTTGTCAGGACCTGGATCACCAAATGTGCTTTCCAAAGGGGAAGGTTGTAGTTCCAGTGTCCACCAGCAGGTGTTTCCCAGTGGCCATCAGATCTCCGTAATCAGTCTCCATCTGATGCTGGCTTCAGAGAGGGTATTTAGGTCCTCCTCTGCTATTACATGTGTATTGCTTTTGTTTGCCTAATAGCCTGATTATACTTGCTGCCTAGATCTTGAGCTTGCTCAAGCCTCTGTCCTATTCCTTACTGCCTATTATCTGTTGCTCTTGTTTTTGATCCCAGTCCTGGTTCCCCCTTCTCATCTGTTCCCTGCATCTCCATTTTACCTTCTATGTTCATGTTCTTTTTTTTTGTACATATTGTACAGTATATAGTTAGCTTTATTAGTTAGGATTTCTGTTATTCTGTTAGGTCTTTTAGTTGGTATTTTGTCACTGGGTTTTTGGTTCACTTGTATCTTTATGTTTGCTGTTTGCCAGTGTTTGGATGTCTTTTGTTTCAGTGTAAATGCATTTTACTTTAAATATATATGGTCTGGTCTCAATTTCTTAAAGTGGCAGTAAATTCCACATTTTGGTTCTTACCTATAGTTAAGTTTATAATAAAGCTTACCTGTAGGTAAAATTAATATTTCCTAAATATGTACCGTTTAGAAGATATTGTAGCAAGCAGCAGCCTATGATGTCACTGGCGCATGTACTCTGAAGGAACAGCATACCCATGCCATTCCTTCAGAGCTGTGTGCCGTGGTCAAGACTCCGACGTGCATGCGCAGGAGTGATGTCAGCCATTCAAGTGGCTGCAGGCCACAAACCCAGAAGATAGACCGTAGCTGTGACAGCACACCACTGGAGGGCTTTTTTTTAAGGTTAATCTTTCATATTGTGCTAGTATTTGCTACATTATGATATTGCCTTGCAGGATTACAGAAGGAAACCTTATTTTTTTCAAGAGTTTACTACCGCTTTAAGTGTAGCCATGCAGATCTGGCCATCTCTGCTGCTGATTCTTGACACATTTATTGATTTTATCTTCACACACAGGGTCAATAGATAAAGCTTATTACTGTAACAAATTGATACAATTTTAAAGCCACTTATACACCAGCTTGCCTAGGTTAATTGCCCCCTGAGACGGATGTTACTGTCTACCCCCAGGTTGCAAGGACACTGGCTACTGTGGCCTGACTGCCAGTGTCCTAGCAACTAATGATGCTGTGCATCTGTGCATCATTGGTTGCTAGGATGCAGACAGCTGGGTCGTACAGTACCATCGTTTGGTATGGGGCAGGCAGGCTCCTCAACCTTAGCAACCAATGACTCTGTGGAGACTGTTCAGCTGTGCTAATGCTTATGATTCCACCATTGTTACCATCAGGAAGCAATAACATGATGATAAAGTGCATGTAGCGGGAACTGCATGTAGCGGGAAGATGCTAAGGAAAATAAACAGCACATAAAAAGCACATAAAACTGTAAAAATGTGTTTTCTAAAGGAAAAACAACACGGCCGTTAGGATTTACAATATCTCACAGAAGTGAGTACACCCCTCAAATTTTTGTAAATATTTTATTCTATCTTTTCAGGTGACAACTCTGAAGAATTTACACTTTGCTACAATGTAAAGTAGTGAGTGTACAGCTTGTATAACAGTGTAAATTTGCTGTCCCCTCACAATTACTCAACACACAGCCATTAATGTCTAAACCACTGGCAACAAAAGTGAGTACACCCCCTAAGTGAAAATGGAGTTCACCAGAGCTTCACAGGTTGCCACTGGAGTCCTCTTCCACTCCTCCATGACGACATCACAGAGTTGGTGGATGTTAGAGACCTTGCGCTCCTCCACCTTCCGTTTGAGGATGCCCCACAGATGCTCAATAGGGTTTAGGTCTGGAGACATGCTTGGCCAGTCCATCACCTTTACCCTCAGCTTCTTTAGCAAGGCAGTGGTCATCTTGGAGGTGTATTTGGGGTCGTTATCATGTTGGAATAACTTCCCTGCGGCCCAGTCTCCGAAGGGAGGGGATCACGCTCCACTTCATTATGTCACAGTACATGTTGGCATTCATGGTTCCCTCAGTGAACTGTAGCTCCCCAGTGGCGGCAGCACTCATGCAGCCCCAGATCATGACACTTTCACCACCCTTCTTGACTGTAGGCAAGACACACTTGTCTTTGTACTCCTCACCTGGTTGCCACCACACACGCTTGACACCATCTGAACCAAATCAATTTATCTTAGTCTCATCAGACCACAGGACATGGTTCCAGTAATCCATGTCCTTAGTCTGCTCGTCTTCAGCAAACTGTTTGCGGGCTTTTTTGTGCATCATCTTTAGAAGAGACTTCCTTCTGAGATGACAGCCATGCAGACCAATTTGATGTAGTGTGCGGCATATGGTCTGAGCACTGACAGGCTGACCCCTCATCCCTTCAACCTCTGCAGCAATGCTGGCAGCACTCATACGTCTATTTCCCAAAGACAACTTCTGGATATGACGCTGAGCATGTGCACTCAACTCCTTTGGTCGACCATGGCAAGGCCTGTTCTGAGTGGAACCTGTCCTGTTAAACCGTTGTATGGTCTTGGCCACCGTGCTGCAGCTCAGTCTCAGGGTCTTGGCAATATTCTTGTAGCCTAGGCCATCTTTATGTAGAGCAACAATTATTTTTTTCAGATGCCATGTTATTGCCATGCTCATGGCTTTTTTGCCACGAGGTGCCATGTTGAACCTCCAGTGACCAGTATGAGAGAGTGAGAGCGATAACACCAAATTTAACACACCCGCTCCCCATTCACACCTGAGACCTTGTAACACTAACAAGTCACATGACACCGGGGAGGGAAAATGGCTCATCAGGCCCAATTTGGATATTTTCACTTAGGGGTGTACTCACTTTTGTTGCAAACAGTTTAGACATTAATGGCTGTGTTTTTGAGTTATTTCTTCGGTGTTGTCACATGAAAAGATATAATAAAATATTTACAAAAATGTGAGGGTGTACTCCCTTCTGTACAGCTACCGTAACTATGATTTTTTTATGATTAATGTTTTTTTCTCGAGATCTATGATTACATAACTATAATTATAGAAATTGCAAGCAACTCTTTGAGCCTTGCAGTTCATACTTGTTGAAGAAATTCAAAACAACAAATTTACATTCAAAGGAAGAAATGGAAAGGACCTAATATAGCATTGAAATAAAATAATATTTCATAAAGCCCCCTTGTGTCTTATAGGCCTGAGACATACAACCGTTTCACAAGAAATAAATCTTTACGATCATATTATGTACATACCATTTGCACCCGATGTCCATATTTCAGCATTGTCAAAATGAGTATCCCCTCCAAGACCTTCACCTGGTGCAAAAGCATGGGCCAAAGTTCCTCGAGGTCCATCAAATGGATATGAGTCTCCATGATCTAATTTTAGAACACTGGAATCAGCTAGAGTTAAACTTTATGATAATTCACATTATCAGCCATTGTCACAAATGGTTTATTTATTTATCATAACATTTTCATGTTTGAACATATGCTTTTGTGCACTGTGTGCATTATACTCCATAGTGACTCTTAGGAAAGCATTAACCATGTAAGGAGCTAAGTCCTGAAATTACTTAAGTGGGGTACACACTATGAGAAAATTGAAAGAAAAATTCTGTATGAGGAATAATCATTCGTTTTTCTGATCATGTGTACACAACTTTCGACATCCGATTCAGACTTTCCAAACAAAAATTTCCGAAGGGACAAACTCCAAAATTTTTCTCGTTATGTGAACAGTACTAACAATTTTTTTTTTCATATAATGTGTACTGTTTTCCTATAGTTTTCGTACAAGAAAAATCAGATATGAAAGAGTGTGCATGATCAGAAATAATAAACAACAAAAAAAAGCCATTGTTGTGAAAGATTTTCATACAATTAGTACCATCCTTGGTTTTGACCTGCTGTGAAACATAAAGGAAAACCGGGTGATCATTCATTTGATTTTCTTATAGTGTGTACTGGACTTAAGTCATGTTAGTTTTTGTTGAGCTGCCACCAGAACAAAATTTAGTTTTCCCAAATGCACACATTCCTGCAAGTGGCTGTAAATGGTGTTTGGGTGCTGTAGTGACCACAGGCAGGGAACTGCAAACAATCCAGAAAGAAAAGTGTCACCAGAACACCAAGGAATCCTCAAAAGGGTCTGAAGCTTTATTTAGTGGTCCTTGGTGTGTCCTAATGGGACATTTCATTCTCCATCTAGCTCATGTACAGGAAACTAGAGAATCTCGCTCCAAAGGGAGGGATAGCCTCCTGAAGTGACACTTGCTTCACGAAGGGGACCTGCGTGGCTCTGAAACAATTGTTTGATATTATGTTACCACTAAATAAAGCTTTGGACCCTTTTGAGGATTCCTTGGTGTGCTGGTGATTCTTTTCTTTCTGGATTGTTTGCCACCAGAACAAGAACAGGGGAAGTCTTCCAATGTGGACATTTGTTGCAATGACTGTCTTCAGGAGGCTATCCCTCCCTTTGGAGAGAGATTCTCTAGGTTCCTGTACAGGAGCTAGATGGAGAATGAAATGTCCCATTAGGACCCAGATGGGATGAATAAACATAGTAAGGTTTTAATCCTTCCCTACTCTTGCCAAAATTAGAGATACACTTTAAATAACTCAATCAAATTTTCACGATGGGAACATCTGGGAAAGGTTAAAGCTTAGATCTACGAGGGGAGTTCAAGTCACACTGGGACTTAGTAATGAGACACTCAGCCGTAGTAAGACATTTGAATAGTGTAAACACTTCAAAGATGGCCGTCCGTCAGTGATGTATCAGACTGTGGTGGTTCCCAGCCCACAGCAGTCATTCCTGTGAACACACAGCGCCAGAAACGCCTGATCCTGGATAATCAACTCTTAACCTGTCATGAACATAATGATGAGGAAGTGAAGCAAGCTGTTCTAGGATGGTTCAGGTGTACTGAAAAATCTTTCTATGTCAAAGCTTTCCAGACATTAGTTAAATGCTGGGATAAGTGTATAAATGTAGCAAGGGAGTATGTTGGAAAATAAATGCAGTTTCCAGTTCTTGAATTTTGTTCTTTTATTATATGAACTCAGAAGTCCCGGTTTGACTTGAATACCCCTTGTATTATGTTTCATATAGCAAGTAGAGAAGGCACAGTTCAAGATACACATCAATATGTCTTAAAATATTTTATACAACTTAGTATATCTGCACTACTCTGTCATGGCTGCCATGGGCTGTTCAAGTGAAGCTTTCCTCTTTGGCATATTTTGTAGTTAATGCAAAGCTCCCCAATCTATAACAAGCCCCATCTGAGGGTCTGTTTACACCACTTGTATTGCAGTAATGCGCAGCAAATGTGTGTTACTGCAACCCAGAGTAAGGCATGTTACATATGTTGATGAGCTGTGTGGCCATTCATTGTGAAGATAATGTGCTACATTTTTCACTGCTCTGTAAAAAAAAAAAGCAATATGTTCAGTACCTCCAGATTCAAATGAAATCATGATATCTGCTTCCCCTTGATTTATTTTGACAAAGTTTAAAGGTGCGGCATCACTCCAGGCTTTCAGGCCCATGTCTATGGCTCGATCCACTTCTATTTTACTCATGGCGGGAGTGTATTTTGTGACTCTAAAAGAGAAAGAGGTTTTTTCCCTCATCGAAAAAGTGAGAAACATTCAGTAACAATTTCAAAAAAATGGATAACCTAAAGGGAAACTGTAGTCAGACTTACCAGAAAATGTAAAGTGGGCCAAACATCATATATACAGTATATAGTATATGTTAAGTACATGCATGCTAAGCAATGTATAAGTGTAAGAGGAATTTATTACATCTTCAGAAGAACAGCAGCAAGTTTGTTTATGTATGTAGCACCCTCCTAGTTTAGCTAGGAGGAGCTAGATCCCAATGGTTAGTCAAGAGCTGGTTAGCAACTCAGGTGTGATAGCAAAAGGGGTCAAATTTGTGGTCAGGGCTGAGAACAGGCAAGCCCCTCTGGAATTTCCCCCTGCTCTGAGGCTTTCGAAGGAGGGCTTTGGAGGCAGTGGGTGGATCTGAGGAATGGCTGGCTGCACTCTTGAGGGACCTCAGCCAATCCCCAACAGAAGGCTTGCAAAGAGGCTGGGGCTTCCTTAAAAGTGTAAGAGTCTGCTCAGTAGCAGGAGTATGGTGGTGGGAGAAGTGTAGAGAGTTGGAGGAAGATGTGAGGCTGGAGGAGGAAGGCTGTCAGGAGGCCCAGTGAGATAGAGCATGCCTATGGGCCTGGAGATGGAAAGGAGGAAAAGTCGGGACTCATTGGCCCCCTGAGCAAGGAACACCTGCATAGCAAGAAAGGAGCAGCCCAACTGATAGGACTGGTAGCAGCAGCCATTCCACAAGCAATACAGGAGAGGATCTGAGTGACTACACCTGCACCCCCTGAGTGGATAGGGGAAGGAGCACTCTGGTGGGAAACCAGATTAGCCTCCCTACTAGTGACTGTTTACTTAATTTAAAGGAACAGGAGCCAGATCCCCTGCTCAGGAAGAAAGTTTTCAGATTGCTGGATGAGAAGGAGCTCATCTTGGGTCTGGGGTGGTACAACTAGGAGCTGCTGGCTAGAACAACAGAGATTGCATCAGAGAAGTGAAGGTTGTGAATAGTTCAGAAAGTTGTCCCCAGATATCGGTTCCCTTGGGAATCCTATACTCCCCTCATCCTATCCAAGTTTTATTCCCCTCAATAAAGTAACAAAACCAATGCTCAAAGACTGGTTTCTGTCTCCGAATGCAAGCTTGTGTGGAAAATGATGAATGACTGGCTGTGCAGGACTATATGGGGACCTAATTCATCAGCAATCCCTGAGGGGGTAGTGCTACATGTATTATAAGGGGTCAACATCTAATTACTAGACTGACATGCCAGTTCAGAGATAGCACAGGGTAAATTTTGGTACACGTGCAGTCCTTGGCTGTGTCCACAGATGTCTAACATTGATCAGCCACTTGCTGTAGCCTCCCACCCTGTGATATGATACAAAGCCACAATGTTGCAGTCTGATCACTGGGTGAGCAGAGATTGAGGAAATGCTTTCTTCTGACTGCAGCAGACTAATGACATCATCCTTGCGTCATTGACAGGAGCTAAAGGACTAGCTTATGAAAGTAATATTGATGTTGTATATTATGAATGTTGGGAATTAAAAGCTCCGCTTCGGTGTTTATTTTTCATTTCCCTATTGTGAACTGAATCATGTTGCTAATTCATATCTAATGAAAACCAGTTGCCCTAGGAAAGTAAGTGTATTAGAGCTGATTAAAGAGCATGCATGCTATGTAATGTGTAAGTGTAAGACTTTCAGGTATTTTTCCAGAAGGACAGCACCATCTTTGTTCTCCCCTTGTATCCCTTTAAGTATTGATAGTATTATGATTTTGAGAGTGCTTCTGGAAGCTGTCCTCATGGATGTGAGATCAGCAGACACATGCAGAATCAAATGAAGATGTGCAGTATTCTCCTGTTATTATTTCTTTACCTTTGAAGCTCACTAAATGTATTCTAATTTACAAGTGCAAAAAGGCTGATAGTAGAGGCTCACACACTGCAGAGCACTAAATAATGCCAGTTGTGACTCTTCCTCCAATATGCACATATTACAAGCAGCTCCTCCTATTTTTACATTTTATTGGGGTAGATTTACTAAAACTGGAGCACTCAGAATCTGGTGCAGTGGTACATGGTACCCAATCAGCTTCTAACTTCAGTTATTTCAATTAAGCTTTGGCAATAAAACCTGGAAGTTAATTTTTATGCAAAAGTGGACCCGATTCTGCACGCTCCAGTTTTAGTAAATAACCCCCTATGTGTACTATGTACCCCCTATGTGTACTCTAACTGATACTTCTGTTTAATTACTTTATGAGTACACAGGTAACAAATCGCTTGCCTGATGTTTGCTAATGTTTGGAAGCAAGTAGCTGTGCAGGCTCCTGTAGTCTACCTACATAACGGTATAGATAAGGGTCTATTACCCACAACTGTTGCAAAGTTTCCGTTTAAAAAGTAGGGTCTGGTGACAAGTTTTCTTTGAAGAGCCATTATTACCTTCAGGGCAAATTAATAGCTTCTGTGTAAAGTCCATCCCTGATCACTTTATACTCATCTTTCCAAAATTCACCCACTGCTAGTCTCCGTTTAATAGCTGCAACAAGAATATCTAGTGTTGGTTGGTATGAAAATTTTTTTTTGCTTGAGCTAAAGTTTAAAGTCTAAAAAAATGAAGCATTTCCTGACCAGACACTAGAAGAAACTCTAATAAAAGTAAATAAGTAACATATTATGGTGAAAATATTTGCAATAGTCAAGGGTGATAATTTTGCAATAGCCCTCTATGTGGCTGCTTTGTGGAAGGTAAGGATAGTAGGCCTAGTGAAGGTTTGTGGAAAAAAATCTCACATACAAAATGACCCAATCTCCTTCCCTCAGATTTGGTGTGATGGCAGTAGGTTGTGAGAATGGCACCAGCCGGAGCTTCTTCAGGTTGGATAGGAAGGGACGAGCTCTGCTTGCTGCTGGACCAAAAGTTTGGCTGATGCAGGTGGAGTACAGTACAGTATCTGTATACTTTGCACAGTATAAGTAAGACCATCGCACTGTTCAAGCTAACAAAACCCAGAACACAATCTAATTATATGGGGTAAAACAGAAAGAGACAACAGTCTATAGTAAAGTTTCCCAACTGGGGTTCCTTCTGAGGTTTCTAGGGGTTCCTTGAGCAAGGAGCAATTTCCGCCTGTCAGATAAATTCCCACTGACACCGTTTATCTTTTTAGCTGTCTGTAAGGGGGTATTTCTTCCGAATGTCCACAAGTGTAAGGGGCATTCTTCCCACTGACCATTGTGCTTATGTATCATGAGTTGCAGCTATAGTAATTTTTAGCAGAGATTCTCTGAGACCGGAAAGTTACTTCAATGGTTCCTCTGGTTGAAAAAATTGAGAAAGGCTGGTCTATATTGTTTGGTGTGGCTATGTAGAAGATTTTTCAGATAGTTGACAACTTCTGCTTACAAAATAACCTCATATTGGGAAAAAAAACTTGCAATGACTTGCATCATAGCATAACACAATCACATAGTTGCATGACCATTTTTGTGGATTCTTTACTTACAGTATGTATTCTTTTTGGTTAACCATTTTTCAACAGTTATTAGGCAACTAAACAGACCTAAAAATTGGGCTAAAAATTGGGAAGAAACTCTTCCTCATGTCATCTGCTTTAAAGTGAGTGGGGTGGGATAAGAACCCTTGTCAAGTTTTGAATGCTTTCTGTGTCCCAGCTATGTAGATTTATTCCATATATCCTGTTCTGAGGAAAGCCACCTTGAACCTGATGAAGAACCCTGTGAAGAGACGCACCTTGAGCCCAAAAAACAGAGAGTTAAGAGAACAAACATCATATATACAGTATATAGTTTATGTTAAGTACATGCATGCTAAGCAATGTATAAGTGTAAGAGAAATTTATTACATCTTCAGAAGAACAGCAGCAAGTTTGTTTATGTATGTAGCACCCTCCTAGTTTAGCTAGGAGGAGCTAGATCCCAATGGTTAGTCAAGAGCTGGTTAGCAACTCAGGTGTGATAGCAAAAGGGGTCAAATTTGTGGTCAGGGCTGAGAGCAGGCAAGCCCCTCTGGAATTTCCCCCTGCTCTGAGGCTTTCGAAGGAGGGCTTTGGAGGCAGTGGGTGGATCTGAGGAATGGCTGGCTGCACTCTTGAGGGACCTCAGCCAATCCCCAACAGAAGGCTTGCAAAGAGGCTGGGGCTTCCTTAAAAGTGTAATAGTCTGCTCAGTAGCAGGAGTATGGTGGTGGGAGAAGTGTAGAGAGTTGGAGGAAGATGTGAGGCTGGAGGAGGAAGGCTGTCAGGAGGCCCAGTGAGATAGAGCATGTCTATGGGCCTGGAGATGGAAAGGAGGAAAAGTCAGGACTCATTGGCCCCCTGAGCAAGGAACACCTGCATAGCAAGAAAGGAGCAGCCCAACTGATAGGACTGGTAGCAGCAGCCATTCCACAAGCAGTACAGGCGAGGATCTGAGTGACTACACCTGCACCCCATGAGTGGATAGGGGAAGGAGCACTCTGGTGGGAAACCAGATTAGCCTCCCTACTAGTGACTGTTCACTTAATTTAAAGGAACAGGAGCCAGATCCCCTGCTCAGGAAGAAAGTCTTCAGATTGCTGGATGAGAAGGAGCTCATCTTGGGTCTGGGGTGGTACAACTAGGAGCTGCTGGCTAGCACAACGGAGATTCCTTTAGAGAAGTGAAGGTTGTGAATAGTTCAGAAAGTTGTCCCCAGATATCGGTTCCCTTGGGAATCCTATACTCCCCTCATCCTATCCAAGTTTTATTCCCCTCAATAAAGTAACAAAACCAATGCTCAAAGACTGGTTTCTGTCTCCGAATGCAAGCTTGTGTGGAAAATGATGAATGACTGGCTGTGCAGGACTATATGGGGACCTAATTCATCAGCAATCCCTGAGGGGGTAGTGCTACATGTATTATAAGGGGTCAACATCTAATTACTAGACTGACATGCCAGTTCAGAGATAGCACAGGGTAAATTTTGGTACACGTGCAGTCCTTGGCTGT